CTACAGTCACTCTTAGTTGGTTAGCGAGATTTACATTTGAACTGCCCTGGTCACAAATGACTGCTTTCACTGCGATAATAATGCTCCTAAGCTCCAAAATTAGTGATACCAGCAAGTTATGCATAACAGATGATGGTGTTGATGTATGCCCTATAGTAAAAGCAACCGGTTGAACCCACTTTCTCAAAACACCAACAAGAAGAAAAACCAGTGCTCGATCAGCGATGGTTGAAGTGCGATGAGTGCCATCATCTGTAAAACCCTGGACGTCTCTTGCAGCATCATAGTACAAATTCTTTTTGAGAGCTATTTCGTCGAAAACTAAAGCGCACACTCGGTCCCGTTCATTCCAAGCTTGAGTATTTGTTGCAATGGAAGAAAGGATTCCTGGAATTATGCCTGGAGTCATCTTTACATTAGCTAGCCACCTCCTTAATGAACGTCGGGAGGGCAAAGAAAAATATGGGGCCAGAAATCGGTATGCTCGCGGACCTCGGAAGTTTAAGTGAAGAGCGAATTTCTTGAACCACACGGGAAACCACTTGCCCTTGCGTTTGGGCCTCAAGCGAACATGTGCAGAAAGAAGTTTAAAAACCTCTGCGGTGACGTGCGGTCGGATAACTCCAAGGGCCTTTGAAGTCGATGACGGTGCTTGGTGAGGCTGTCTCCGCAGTCTTTTGATAGTTTTCTGCTGTGCTGCTACTTTGGCTTGCAGATGTTTAATGGTTTGCTTGTACTTCATTGATGGAGACAGTGTCGCTGGCACACAGGAACGCACTGCAATAAACAAATAAAGGATGTACAAGCGAAGAACAACTGATTCCATACGAGCAGTTTCCTCGCTCTTTCAGACCCAAGGTGCACAACTTTCTGCGGTGCAAAGTTTTTGATTCCACTACCTAAAAACAAACAATTCACAATGTTGACAATGCACAAAAAAATGAAAATCACTGAGAGCCCACCCTTACATTTTGTAAGTGCACATGTAGTGTCCTTTTGAGGATAGTTTTCTCAGAATGTCCTAAACATAAAATAGTACATTAAAAACAGCTGCAATAAAAGCATAGTCACCATTTTCTATAGGGCAATCAGGCGTGGAGCTGTTGGCGGAGACGTCTTCTGCAGGGTCTTGTGAAGCTTGTTCCGTGCCTCGGACAGTGCTGTCGGAACAATCTTGCGAGCGGCCTGCGGAAGTCTCTATATCAATCCACTCTGGTGTTGAAGTGAACATACAACTTACCGGTCACACAAGTTCCTTTTGTGACAGCTGAACGACTGGTTAAGGTTTTCTCCGGCAAGACGAAGTCAGCAGAAGTTCTTTCACCAGCTACAAGGGCGCTGCCACCTGCAGAGGTTTGGCCAACAGTCAATTTGGGTGAAAAAAAAGAAATCGCAACACTGAACGCACCCTGCTCATCGGGGCACCTCAATGTGTAGGAGCCGCTTTTTGAAGCCTCTAACGCAGGTTTTGAAGAAATAAAATTACGACAATGTGTCAGTAAGTGGCTTAAAATAACACAAACTGAAGCTCATCCGCACCTTGCAGTGCAGCTTCTGCAGCCATGTCACAGTCACTACTTGAAGCGACGCTCAGAGAACCTGCATATATGTGCAGTTGGTACAAGTTACAAAGCTTGTAGCATGGGGAAACTTAAACAGCTCTTTCAAACGCATAAATTGGTCGAACGTGGAAGAAAAGAGAAGGCACCAACTAGGAAACAGGTAATTTGTGGTTTTTGGAATTATCAACAGTGCCAGCTTTCACTGATGCAAGGTATACGTACATGTGCACTCAGGCTTGAAGATAACGTGAAATAGCCCTTCAAAGTTTTTCAAAACAAGTTGCGCAGGTCAAGAGCATCAAAAAACGACAGAAATGTAAAGCTGCTGTTAGGAAGGTAATAGCCCACAATTCACAAAATTTAAGACTTTCCAAGTGTTACTTCTAAAGTGAGGTTTCTCCATCGACTACAAAGATCTTCGCGGTTAACTGTCGCCACTGATTCAATACAAGTGGCTGCTATTGCACATATTTGAGTTTCAGTCAATCATTTATATGGTGCAGCTGCTTGCACACTGGGAACAGCCATTCTTGTAAGCCTTGTGTGCCCAGGGTCCATGAAACTTTGAGCCGTAAAATGGTCGCTACAAACCCTGTACGTTGCGTACAATAGGCTGGCCGCCTTACTCAGGAGATCATCGCGTCCAGCATACTGCATCCATGCTTTCATTCTGCATTGTCAATGAACTATCAGCTGAAAGGGGAAGTGCTTGAATAGTGATTTTTTATTGTTACCTTCACTGAGCAAGTACGAACAGTAAGCCTAAAGACATGCAAACCATACAAAAGCTTTAACACACCTGCCGTCCCGCGTTATGCGGAAGAAACTCGTCCCAAGCTTCTTGTGGGTTCTGTCATTGTTGAAGCACCACGATACACAGCAGTAGCTGCCGTAGCTTAGACCGCCGGACGGCATGGCATCAGCGCGGTCTGAAAATGTTAGTAAGTGGATGCTTCGCTGTCAAATTATGAAAAAGATATGTGCACGTCATAAGTGTACCAGCAAACCCCTTTGAATGATTAGCTAATCGACGCACAATACAAAACCAGTGATACATCTCTGACCCATAAAACTCTGACTTACAAAGATAGACGTCAAGACCACGTACAAAGATCTTCAGAAGTTTCCAGGCCACTATCCCTTGTAATGCAATGGTATCGCGGCCTGGGAACTTTAGAACACCTTCGTGCGTACGCCGTATCAGCAGTAAATTGGGAAGAAAAATCGTAGTTGAAATTTATGCGGTAAAATTATATTGGAAACGTCAAAAAAATTTGTGGGCAGCTTGCACTAGTGGCACAAGGCTAGCGAAGAAACGAAGATGATGGCCACTTGGCTAGTCCAGGTTTGCCTCCGGCACACCAAGAATTATTCGTGTTCCGAGCCTTCGGGAAACGCGTCGTGAAGCATGCGAGGCCCAGCGAACGCTTCTCAATATTTTGCACCGAGCCACCGAGCCTATGACCTAGCAGCCCAGCTATGCTCAGCCTACAGACGCTCGCGTCCGTGGCAGGCGCAGCACGCGTCGCCTCGGCTTGACGCCGTGCCGCCTTTGCTATACTGCATACGTTGCACAATGTTCCCGTCTATCCGCCGCATAGAGCCGCAAACTTTCTTTTTAGCGAACCTCCCCGTCCTTACAAGCTTCATAAAAAGTTACAATTGCGTGAATGAGACAACACGTAAGAAACAAACTCGCACACACGAAGCGCAACGTGTGTGTGTGCATCTTTCTATGATTGTTGCATGGTGTCTTATTCTCTTATTCTCGCAGGTGTAACCGTTTTCTGAAAAAATGACCCAACAAGCCCAACAACATGTCATTCAACAAGCTTCGCTTGAAAACGTGCCTCATCTGTTATCTCACGCACGAAAACGCCGACGCAGCCGACGTTAACGAAAGCGACGAAAGCTTCCCGCTGTCAGTCATGCATGGGCTTGTCGCTGGTTAGATGGTGTTTATGACAGTACGGCTGAAGAAAAATAATCGCGTAAGGTGTGTTGAATAAATTGTTTTTATGTATAAAGAACATACCAGATTTTGGCGTATAATTATTATTTTGTAAAAACAATTCTGTTGCATTGATTATAACTGTTTTTTTTGCACTTGCGTCCTCTGACGTTTGGTGAGAGCACTAGTTCGTTACGTAGTCGTGACGCACTTCCTGAGGCCAGGTTTCGCGGAGTGTCCTCTTTTGTCTTTTCCTTTCTCTATGGTATTGCCTCGGGGTTGTTTTTTTTATTTTCTGTTAAGTTCCAGTTCACCTATATATCAGCTGTTGTTTCCTGAATAAATGTTAGTTGCGAGTCAGCGCCTGTCTGTGTCCTTTTACTTCGTCGTCCTGTCGTGTGCGCTTTTCAACCAAGATGAGCCCCTAATGGTGGTCACGATGAGACTGGAGTCAACGCGGGCACAGAACGCACGGGCGCCGCGCAAAATTGAACATTCAACGTCACGTTGCGCCACGTGAGACTGCTCACCGAACTGCGGTGGCGTGAGCGTCGGAAGGAAAAGGAATGCACAACTCTGCTACCTAAAAGTAGCATATACAGCAACTCTAGACAGATGCACGCTCGGACGAACGGATGGGCAGTAGCACGGACAAACAGGCAGACAGAAGCACGGACGGACGGACAGAAAGACATAAGCACGGACAGACGCACGCACGGATGGACGGACAGACAGAAGCATGACTGGATGGACGGATGAATGGACAGACAGAAGCACACACAGACGTACACCTAGACAGACAGACAGACAGACAGACAGACAGACAGACAGACAGACAGACAGACAGACAGACAGACAGACAGACAGACAGACAGACAGGCAGGCAGGCAGGCAGACAGACAGACAGACAGACAGACAGACAGACAGACAGAAGCGCGGACGGATGGAAAGACAGAAGCATATACGAACGAACAGACAGACAGATATACAAAAGCACAGGCGGACACAGACACGAATGGACAGACATCCGGACGATCAGTCAGACAGAAACATGGACGCACGGACAGAGAGACACGGAAACACGGACGGATGAACAGACAGAATCCTAAACAGATCAAAGCATGGACGGACGGATGGACAGAAGCAGGAACAGACTAACGAACGGACGGGCAGAAGCACGGACGAAAGCACGGACAGGTGCAAGGACGGATGGACAGACGGACACACGAACGGACGGACGCACGCGCGGACGGATAGACAGACAGAAGCACCCATGGACGTACGCACGCAGAAACGGACGGAGAGACAGGCAGAAGCACGGACGAACACACGCACAAATGGACACATTCAGACAGGCAGAAGCACGGGCGGACAGCAGGAGGCTTCACCCCACTCCTCATTATTCACTCCGTGGATATGCTGTGATTTTTTTTTATTCGAACAGATGATACAATGACAAAAATGACTGAACACAGCATAATCAGCATTCACTTTCTATTCTGACTAGCACGTCCCAGCACCTTCAACCTTTGCACAAATTGATTCACATCCACGCTTCTTGCAGCCGTCGTTTTAGGGTACGGGTCAGCACCGCTACATACAGGAGTTGGAGATGTCTGGCCACCAAAGCGCTGGTTACCTTGGACAGCATGGACAGATCGTGGATGGTCATCTCGGGCCTGGGCACCACGAGGCTGTCTGGTCTCGGCCTGTGCATGAGCAGAAATAGTTGGCTGACTGGAGCTGGGAATGCTGTCCTTGGACTTCGGCTGCTTTGATGGCGCGTAACGCTCAGGAGGGCCATTCTGAAAAAGCGAGCGGTAATACAGGCGCCGCTCCGCAGGTTTCATGCCATGCACCTGTCGGAAGACCGGAGGTACAGCTGGCTCCTGTAGTTCGTACGTTGCAGTGGTCCCCGCTTCCCAAATTTCTCCTGATTCTGGTAGCGGCCGTGAAGCACCGGCGACTGGAACCACATAACGCCTGTCCACATCCTGCCGTATCACCGGCAATGTCGACGACCGGTCAGGGCATGTCTCAAGGTGACTGATAAACAGGCTCTTCATGGACGGCACGAGATGGTCTGCGTTGAACAAACAAGGCCTGAGGCATGGGCGGCCCACGGTTTTCTTACATTTTGACATGTGGATGGCAATCCGAGTTTGCTTCACCTTGTGGTTTGGGTCGTACGGGCACTGGACAAGATCTTCATCTTTGGAGGCAAACGTAGCCATAGTCAGAGAGCGGAGCACAAACGCAGCGTGGCTCTAGGCGGTGCCTCTACAGAGCGTTCTGAATAGACAGAGTGGGGGTGCTCGGGGTGAGACGCCGATAGACGCGGGCCATCAAGGTCGTTGAGGTTACTGTGGAAACACGGGCCTGCGAGTGCCAACGCGAAGGCAATGATGATGATGACGCACTTCGAATGATTGGCACCTACCCACTCATGGGGATCGTACAGGAGTCGGGCGGATCACACATATTGTATTTATTAGTTTTTAAACGCGGAGAATTTCTTAGTCGCATAGGGTCGTGCTTCGGCGTTGGCGGGGGTGCCGTCCAGACCTACCCTGGGCAGGCTCGCGTCTTGTGCCGGCCCAGGAACCCGCCCGCAACACTGTCGCTCCCCTCCCCTATATTAAATGCGACTTCTTAGCGAGGGGTTTTCGGCGATTTCTTTCCAGCCATTCAGTTCAGAGTATTCCCAAGTGACTGCGAAAGTCCTGTGGTCTCTCCCGATACCATTTGAGCAGGTGAGCCCGTGTTTCGGTCACTTTTCGAAGATTGCCCGTACCGCCACGCTGGCACGACAGTCAAGCCAGTAGACAAGGCACGGCAGGCCTGACAAGTCGTCGGAGCAAGCGGGTGCCCCATCCGCTGCACCGGCGCCCGAAATGGAATTCGTGCAAGTCGAAGGGGAGGAGATATCGCCGACAGAGTTCGGAAAAGAGCAGGGATGGTGCGAAATCAAACGAAACACCAAGAAGGCGGGTGGAGACGCCGACCCAGCGAAGAACCAGCAAGCAACGCCAGCGTCTACTGAGAAGGCGGCGTTTATTCAGAAAGCGACGCAGTACGTGCGGAAGATCACCATGACGAGCCGAATGCCCAACCTGCCAACGGATGACTACAAGATCATCGTGCGACCCCGAGATGGCTTCAACGTATCCCACTACCAGAAGGACCGCGTCCACTGCTGCATACGCAACGCTGCAGGGGTGGGGCGTGAGGTAGCCGAGGAGGACAGCGTCTGTCTCAATGAGCGACAAAACGTTATTGTGGTAAGCACGCCGTCAGAAGATCGCGCTAGACAATATGGAGGCATTTGCAAGCTGCGAATTGGCGACCGTGAGTTCGAAGCGAGTGCCTACAGAGCGGCTCCGGAGAACACGTCCAAAGGCCTCATCAGGGGCATATCGCTAGACGAAAAGCCGGCGGACGTCGTGAGAAGTCTGGTTAACCACCGCAACCCGAACGTCCTGCATGCCAAGCGCATGGGAAACACGACCAATGTGATAATCCTTTTCGACGGCTACTACGTGCCTCGTTACGTGAACTACGGCGGGATGGTGATAAGGTGCACTCTTTACAAGAAACATATCGATATGTGCTACGAGTGTGGTCGTCTGGGACACAGGGCCGACGTGTGCCCCAACCCGAACGACAAGAAGTGCCGTGGGTGCGGATGCGGTAACCCGCCCGACGATCATAGGTGCGAGCCGGTGTGCCAACTGTGCGGAAAGGGTCACCTCACCGGAGACCGCAAGTGCAAAGCTAAGTACAAGACACCCTACCTAGTCAAGCGCCGACAGTGGGAACGCAGAATGCGTGAGGAGGCTGAGGCCGCTTACAGCAGTAGCAGCACCGTCAACGACGGGGAGGAGGGCTACGGACGACGCCACGCACCGAGACGACGTCGCGGCAACAGTCGATCGGCCTCGAGGGAGACCCGCGCGCGGAGCCGCACTCGCTCCCGTACTCGTTCTCGAGCCCGCTCTCGCAGCGTCTCCCGACCCCGTTCAGCGAAGCCTCGCAGCACGTCGACGGCCCGAGCCAACCACACAGCGGCAGCCAAAGGCGGAGGAGAGGTTGACCCCCATAAATTGAGGTGGGTGGACGTCGCCTCCGGACGCGCGCCCAGCGCACGGCTAACGCGAACCGAGACTGCCATTGATAGGAACCCAGATGTAGACAGACGCGGCAGCTCTGCTTACAAACGCAACAGCGACCCAGAAAGTCTAGTGCAGAAACGATTGGATCAATTCGAATCATTAATCCAAGAACTAAAGCAGGAAAATGCAAGGTTAAGAAACGAAATTGCCACGTTGAAGGGGGAGGCCCCGACAGTTCCCTTTCCTCCTCCTCCAATTAAACCCGTCGCAGCCGACGCGGCTGCTAGTACAGCCGAGAGAGTGGAGGAAGTCATAGAGGCTCAAGACGCGCACCCCGCACCCACCAAACGTAAGGCACTTGACCCGGAACAATTCGACGCCAAATCGCAGAAACGCGAGGAGAAACTCCGCGAACGAGTCGATAGACTCGACGACAAGGTAGACGCGATGATGACCCAACACGCGCAGCAAACCGCGCAACTTAACAACGCAATCGCTCAGCAAACCTCACAAACCGAACAGTTGAGCATTGCAATATCTCAGCTCACAAAAATGGTCACGACGCTGCAAACGCGCATAGACAATATCGAAATGCGACTTCCGGCCGCAGTGGGTCGCCCAGTACGAACGACTGGGAAACCGTACTTTAGGCCGTTACCCGACGAAGAGGCGCAGGATCAGCCGGACGGCAAACCATAACACGTACAGTCACCATGGCTCGACACGAAACCACACAAACACAACGCCCACAACAGCATAACACACGAAACACGTTCACTATCTGGCAGTGGAACTGCAGGGGGTACAGGAGGAAACGGGCGCTTCTCCAACAATTCTTACGTAGCCGGCAACGACCGGACGTAATACTATTGCAGGAAACTAATGACCCGGTCAAGCTGGCGGGGTACAAATCTATAGACGAAGCTGTGACCGCGGGAGCCCCACCGGCCGCTGCAACGCTTGTGCGACGCAACCTCACCGTGGCGCAACGCGAACTTATGAACGTTAGCATACCGCATGTATTCATAGAGCTCATTCCGACGAAAGGGCGCGGCCCCAGCCTGTTTGTGCTGAACGTGTATAGCAGACCCAAAGCCAGACACCGCTTTAGCACGTTACTGCGAGAGGCGCGCGAGGCAGCTGCCGACGGGCCCTTGCTCATCGCGGGCGACTTCAACGCGCCCCACGCGGCGTGTGGGTACGGCTACGAAACGCCAAAAGGTAAGAGCCTTTGGGACGATGCGCAGAATGAGGGCCTCGAGCTCATCACAGACCCTTCCGCGCCTACGCGCAGGGGTAACAGCGTATGTGCAGACACCTCACCCGACCTCACATTTACCAAGAACGTTGCTAGCGCGCGATGGCACAATACACTGGAGGACCTGGGTAGCGATCACTCAGTGATCGAGATCCAGGTCGACGCTGAACCTCACCACCGCGTTCATCGGGGAGGTACCAAGGGCAAGAACCACCGGCTGGTGGATTGGGACGCGTTTCGCAAAGTCCGGAAAGAGCAGAATCGTGGCAATGCGGCTATTGAGGATATAGATAGCTGGACTGCGACGCTCAAGGGGGATTTAGAAACGGCGACGCGGGAGGTTCCGCCAGAAGCCCAGCTCGAAGTGGTAGACAGCAAACTCCTACACATGTGGGAAGCCAAGCGCAGCCTGCAAGACAGGTGGAAGCGTCAACGCCACAATCGAACGCTGCGCAGACGCATAGCACGGCTAAGCAGGGACATGGAAGAGCACGCGTTACAGGTATGCAAAACGCAATGGGAAGAGATCTGCAATGGGATGGAGAACCAGCTGGGACGGGCCAAGACGTGGCATCTCCTCCGGCACCTCTTGGATCCAGAGGAGACGAAAACATCGCACGCACATAAGCTTAACAAGTTGCTGCACGACTACAAAGGCACCCACGCGGACTTTCTAGATGATGTGCGAAGCCGTTACTTTCAGTCACGTAGCCCCCTCGCGCACTCGGCATACGCCTGGGAGGGTGAGGGTAACGCGGAGCTAGACGAGGACTTCAGCGTTGCAGAGGTGAGGGCGGTGCTGCACAGGCTCAACACAAAGTCGGCGCCAGGCCCGGACGGGATAACCAACAAAGCGCTACGTAACTTGGACGATGAGTCGATAGAACAACTGACGGCTTACATGAACGAGTGCTGGAATGCGGGCGCTATACCGAACTCGTGGAAAACGGCGCGCATAATTATGATCCCCAAACCGGGCAAACGAGTACAGATTGACAACCTTCGACCGATATCCCTGACGTCCTGCGTTGGTAAGGTCATGGAACATGTGGTTCTCGCTCGCCTTACCAACTACCTCGAGGACCGAAACATGCTCCCACACACAATGCTGGGGTTCCGTCGTAACCTTTCCACACAGGACGTTATGCTTCAACTCAAGCACGATATCGTAGACAATCCCACACGATCCACCAAAGCGATACTCGGGCTCGACCTCAAAAAGGCGTTCGACAACGTTAGCCATGCTGCGATACTTGAAAGTATACGAGCGTTGGGACTTGGCGAGAGAACGTACCACTACGTACGAGATTTTCTTACGGGCCGCCGGGCCCGATTAGCGATCGGCGAACTAGAATCGCAGGACATATACATGGGTTGTACGGGCACGCCGCAGGGCTCCGTAATCTCACCCATGCTCTTTAACCTCGTGCTTGTCGGATTACCACGAAAACTCGCTGAGATAGAAGGCCTCCACCATAGCTTGTACGCCGATGATATCACCCTCTGGGTTGCCGAGGGAAATGACGGCCACGTAGAGCAAACGCTGCAGGAAGCCGTCCACGTGGTGCAGGACTACCTTCGCGACACTGGCCTCGAATGTTCCGCAACTAAATCGGAGCTCCTGTTCTATAGACCATCGCGCAGGGGCCGTAAACCCAAGAACGCCGATTCCGCATTCGATTGCGCATATAGAGAAATTAATGTACGCACATCAGACGGCGCTGTCATCCCACAAGTTAACACCATTAGGGTACTGGGCTTGCGCCTGTCCGCCAACGGCCACAACGGCGAAACCGTTCGCAGACTAGAGGGCGCGGTCAATGAAACAATCCGGTTGCTGAAACGAATAACAAATCGGCATAGC